GATAGGCCGAGTTTTGCCAGTTTCCTCAGGAAAAAGATGCGCTTGTGAGCCTTCTTGACTAGGGCTGAGGTGTTAGTGGTCAAGGAGAGGTCCTCCGAGATGTGGACTCCCAGGAACTTGAACCCGCTCAACCTCTTCTCCACTAAGATGGACTGGGGAGTGCGTGCCGTCTTTGTTCCTTCTGAAGTCCACAATGACCTCTTACGTCTTCTTGGTGTTGAGAGCCAGGTTGTTGTTAGCGCACCACTCTGCCAGATGTTCAACCTCTTCCCTGTATGCCGTCTCGTCATTGTTGCTGACAAGCCTGACCACTGTGGTGTCGTCTGCAAACTTAACGATGGTGTTTGAGCCATGTACAGGTTTGCAGTCATGTGTGAAGAGGGAATATAGGAGGGGACTTAACACACAGCCTTGCGGGAGACCAGCGCTAAGGATGAGATTAGAGGATGTGAGCTTGTCTATTCTAACATGCTGGGGTCTGTTTGTGAGAAAGTCCAGTATCCAGTTGCAGAGGGAGGGGTCAATGCCAAGGTCACTGAGCTTGGTAACCAGTTTGGAAGGAATGATGGTGTTAAATGCCGAGCTAAAGTCAATGAACAGGAGTCGTACGTGTTGCTCTGATCCAGATGGTAGAGGGCAGGGTGTAGTGCTGTGAAGATGGCGTCATCCGTACTCCTGTTCTGACAATAGGCAAACTGGTAGGGGTCAAGTGTGGGTGGGCATTATTTAAGCCGAGCCAGGACCAGCCTCTCGAAGCACTTCATGATGGTCGATGTAAGTGCCACGGGTCGTTAGTCGTTAAGGCTTGTTGGAGAGGCGTGCTGACAGAAAAATCCCAAACTAAACTAATTCCACTGTACATAGCAAATCTGCCATGAGAAAGTCTCTCACTAGGGGAGATGAGCTCAGAGGATTTAAGCTGGTTTAAATGTTCATGACTCTCTTCCACCAGCTGGCTATCACTCAGCTGTTTGGTGGCTAGCACACTCTGCTACGGACGTTAGCTCTGTTTTCACATCTGGACCAGAATATGACAAGGCAACGACATGCATCAGAGATCTCTCTCCAGCTGCTGCTACACTATCAATCTGCCACGCGTCCAACAACAGTGTTCTCAGTGCGCAGGCATGTTCCAACACATGTTGGTGTGACTAGCCATTAGCCGATGCACGCAATAACCGTAGCCCAAGGGTATTGGCCAAAATTACCGGTCAACCTCAGCGGCGTAAATCCCTCTCAAATCCCTCAAATCTGACCCCTTCCTTTATTCCCGGTGTGCTTTCTCTCATTCACTCACAGTGCACATTATCTCTACATCTCTCATCTTTTTGGCGGGTCTCATTTTACTCATAGTTTTGTTATTTTTCCCCTATCCCCCGGCCTCTTTGTGGCTGTGGCAAGCTGAGACTTGTGTATGAGTTCTTCACAAATATTGCTCGTACACCTGGGACAATGTCACGACTTGAATGCGACCGAGCTGTGTGAAATCAGAGTCTTTGTGCTGTGTTTACAGGTATCTCTGTCTGGAATCAGGAGGAATCACAGGGACTGCAGGCTGGTGATACACCTGAACCTCTGCTTTGTGTTAGACAGGTACAAGGTCATCCCTCCACCTGGGGGGGACTTGAAACTCACCTTAACTCCCCAGAGGTGAAATGACCTCCAGGCAGAGCAGTCAAGTAACTCCTCGTCTGTTTTTACAGGCTGCTTACGTTTGAAATTACATTTCTAACAAAGGTACGTCAGGTAATTCTCTCCCATTTCCAACAATCTGAGGTCATCTTGATTTAACCTTCCCTTTCACACTTCCTTCCTCTGTTCTGCTCTACTTTGTCAGAAAACGCCTAAATTGCAATCGAATTCAATTCTACCATTCATTCCTAATACTACTGGGCACAAATTCACGAATAGATTTACTGCACATCTAATTGATCTGACGATTGTAAAAAGATAAAACATGGCATTATAGAGCACAAGGGCCACAGTGTAGTTGTCAGCTGACTGAACACAGCTGTAGAGGATGGATTAACCTTAGGATGTTCCTGTTTCTGACTTTGATCAAACTAACAAACCCAAGCTGTGATTCCTGTGTTATGACTTGAAGTGTATTTGTCTCCACAATGGTTCTTTCCACTGAACTGTTGGATCCAAGCCCAGGGCGTGAGAGAAGATGCTGCTATGCTGCCTTTTTTTCTGTATCGCTATCTATCCTTGGGGACTAGGCAGGTTTGGGCATGCTGAGAGGCTTACTTCTCACTGCTGCAGGAGGAAATACAAAGTGTAATCTTTCTAAATAACATGCAGGGGCAAAGAGGAGGACTCACATGTTGCTTCTGTGGTCCTTCGGCTGTACGTGCGGCGGGCGCGGTACCTGACCACCAGCTCTCCGCTCTCCATCATGGGTTCAAACGCCTCTCTGTGAACACACATTATAAATCAGGGCAAAACACAATGAGAAGCCTCTTCAGCAGAAGCGTAAACACAGCTGAAAACATGGCACGCCTCCATAACTCCCTAGAGTTATTGTTGTTTTTTGCAAAACAGATGGCAGCTACTACTTCCAAATGCTTTCAGAAGGCATACACAACTCGGTCAAGGAGTTGGAAAAACACTGAAGCTTTTTTGGTTTGGCACGACTATCTAGTCCCTCCCTTCCACTCTTGAGGAGTGCCAACAGCCTACACACCCAAAACGCGTCTCTTTGCGCCGCAGCTTGGCCACATAAACAGCCATGAGCACAGCGATGGACACGGCGCCGGCGATGGCCATCACCACATACCACCAGTGCCAGGAAAAAGCCGGGGGAGTTGACGGGCCTGAGGGAGGGGAAGGGGTGTGGGAAGAGACAGAAGAGGGTTTAGTGATGTGTTTCATTTTAACGTGAAAAGAGAAATAATGGAGAAGTAATGGAGCCCCTATTGTGACAAAAAGCAACAACCCTCGACTAAAATTTTCTAAGGTTTATTGACTGTAGACCTCAGCTATCGTTTGGGACTACAGTCCTTTTGCTTGAAAAACCCCGTGATTAATCTTCAAGCTCTGGGATTGGATGTTGGAGTGGCAGTGCGCCAAGGTTAGACAGCTCTTTGAAATGGAACGAAACCCACGGCAGACTATCCAGCCCCCCCCCCCAGAACTACACATGCTGGCTATTGTGTTTCGCAACATGTTCTATGGCACTTCTCTACTGGGAATTCTAGTCTTAAAAGTAGTTTTTCCCACAATTAGAAGTTGCCAGTATTAAACTGTGTACATCCCTGGAGGTTTAGGGGATAGGAAACACATTGGTGTGTACACATTTAAAACATATAATTAATAAATGGGTGAAAATCGCTTGTACCCATAATGGGCAACATTAATATATACCCACATGACAGCTCATTGTTACTTTGTAATTCTACTCCACTACAACTCAGAGGTTAACCTGGTATTTTTACTCCACTACATTTATTTTAGTTACTTTGCAGATTCTGATTAATGATGTGAAATATAAACAACCCTTAAATCAGACTTTAGTTACACCTGAGTCAAATTCAGGGAAGGTGATTGTCAAGTGCCAAAATAAACTACGCAATATATTGGACGATAAGTACTTTGTTCATCTGTGGATAACCCCTACGTTTTTTTCTTATTCAAAAGAAGACCTTAACTTAAAGTATTCTTTAATGTTTAAATAAAGCCTTATTAGTCTGTTTTGCACATCCTCTTGTTAATATCTTTGGACGTCCTGCACAAAACTGTTTTATTGTAGAGATCACTACAGTATCTTCTTGATATTTTCAATTTTGTATGTAGGCTACTATTAATATTTAAATGTTTTCATCAAATAAAACGTATTCAACAACAAAATTCAATAACGTGCTTTAACCACTAGGCGGTGCGGGTTAAAAAATCTGTGGTGTAGTTAATAAAACATAATAATATCAAATATGATATGACTATTAACTTTATTGTGAAATTAAAACAGAACGGTAAAGGAAAATACAGTTTCAGTCTCTCGATTTGAAGCTTATGCATTGTACCATGAACCTGTATATACCTGTAACAGTCAACTGCATGAGGAGTTGGAAAGGTA